TCTTGAAGCCTATTCATATGATTGTGGGAAAATCCAACTATCGGTCCTGTATCACCTTATACGACCTAGGGTGACAAGAGTTCTTATTTTGTATCCTTAATAGTCGCTTCTTCGTCTTCACCACTACCCCTAACCATGTGGAAATGGATCACGCTAATTTCCTCCCCCAAACCCTTTCACAGAAGTTAAAAGTCCTCTAGCCTTCATTGGTGGAGATGTTGACAGCAATGTCGCCTTTATGCTATGTTGATAGAGCAATTTTCCAACCATGCTAATAGCCAGACTTGAATAAGCCGCTAGGCTCATGAGTGGGATTCAGACGTCTCTGATTGGCTGGTTAAAGCAGCCAATCATAACGAAACCATTTTTAATGACGTGCATAACATGAGTTGGTTGAGATGAATTCGACACATTATTTGGTCTCACCGAGCCCTTAAGACTGACCGCAATCTCTTTTTCCTCGCAACTGATGACTTTACCCCAGCCCTGGCAGGTATCCGGCTCTTGTCAGGGGTCAAGTGTGCAACTACAACGAGTCAATGTTGTCGGGGTCGACAAGACACCCATATCGACGCCACGGCAACGAGTGTTGGCCAAGTTGGCTGAGCATAGACGGCGAAATCGCATTCCTAAACCGGCCGCAAATACCGGTACAGACGGCGTCGTTTTGAGGGCTGCGTCGAACTGCGATGCAGTGACCGAGGCAACAGAGTCGGACTCGGCGCCAGGATGGACGGAGGAGGAGGAGTTGCAGGAGCTCCGATTGACCATCAATCGACGCGAACGTCGGCGAATGCAAGATCTCAACATAGCCATGGATGGACTTCGGTAAGTCAGCAAATGTAAATTCCCTTTTGATACTAAAAGTAGCCGGTTTTCTATGAGTCTTTTAGGTTAAACTTGTTGGGAGACTTTGATATCGTATGAAAGTGTATGAAGAAATGATTCTTTAATCGAAGACCAAGATGGTGTGACATTTTGTGGGGTCACAGTCTCCTTTCGTCGTATAGAAGTTGTTTGACCTTGTTTTTGCAACACGGTCATGTTGGTAGGAAGACCTAAAGGAACACACCTAGTCCGGAGTCCTTTGTATGCATCGTCATTTCCAAAGTTGAACCGTGGACGTGGTACATTCCCAAAGGATGAAGCGGGGGTGAGGTGAGAACGACAGTTGGAGTGTGAAGGTGTCATGTCGCTCAAAGGAGCACACCATACTACATCGAAATAAACACGGTAAACTTGTAATAGTGAAGGTATGATATGATGATACAGAAAACGCGAATAACCCATGGCAGAAGAGGAGATAGCACAATTGTTTAGCACACGTTTGGTCAAAGGATCGGCTTCACTTGTCTCTTTGACGAGTTGTTATGTGGTGCTAAGAATGGCGATACTCACCGACGATGCCGGCGAAACGTCTGGGAACGTACCACGTCCACGGTCCGACTTTGGAAATAATTATGCATACAAAGGACTCCGGACTAGGTGCATTCCTCTAAGTCTTCCTACCAATATGACCAAATTGCGAAAACAAGATCAAACAACTTCTAAATGATTCTTTAGTTGTTCGTACCGAAAGACGCCAACTGATTCGGGTTGTACGGCAGCCATTTGGCTTTACTATGACGTTGATGTCGACGCAGTCCACGAGACGTCCTCCTTCGTTTCGAGTGAAAATAGGCTAAACTTTCGTTTATCATATGATGAAGTTCATCACTATGCAAGAGAAATAACCAATTTATTTATCTATATATCTATATTTGCCTATATATTTTCATTTATAGTAATGAATATAC